TTGCCTTACCAGGGTCTTGCTAAAGCAGGCAAAGTTTAATTCTGGTTCTGGATCTGTTTCAAAATCTTATTTATCTCCTTTAACTTTTATGAGGAAGGCTTTAAAAGATGAGGAGGGCCCCGATCTTGAGTATTTTTCTCTTAAATAATAATAAGGAAAACACCTTAATGGTAAATCCTGATTTCTTTTCCCTATTGACATGCATACATAAATGAGAGCATTGGTTTTTTGCAGTTGCCTCTCTAGTAGCCTCAAGGCAAATAAACAGTTATACCATTCAGTTGAAGACACTGTCATTTTATCCTTCTTCAAGGTTACATGCTGTGAATCTCTTTCCTCTACTTTCTTAACTTTTAGACTCAAGAAATGCTTGTATTAAGGTGAGTCCTACAGTTGTTTTTGTCTTAAAATGACTTGACAATATTATTGATAATGAACCACAAAAAGTCATTGTTGGAGGAGAATGTTCAAGAGGGTATTTGACAAAAGATACTAATCTCCAGCCTTGATCCTGGAAGACAGCCTGCAAATACAGCAAAATGTGAGCTTCTCAAGAGATGTTCAATGTCAGCATAACTTTGATTCCATTCAGACTAACAATGATAACTTCAGAACAAGCAGAGCCAGGTCAACAGTGAATATATGTATTTAAATCCTGCCATCAAAAGGACTTAGAATGCCTGCAGGAGTACATGTGAGTTTAATAGCCAGGACTTAAATTAAACAGCAGTTAACACCACTCTGTGCCCACTTTCAGAAAGAGAATGAGAACCTGCCCTTTACAAGTTTTCCTTGGCCTCGGTGATGACTGCAACTCACCAAAGCGGGTGTTTATGCTTTTGGAGTTACATAAATGGCCCCTACTTTAGTCTCTCCCACTCCTGATGTAGTGATACTGGAGAATAATACGGAGCTTTGTTTATAAACATGTTTGTGGTTGATTTGTTTTCTTTGGGAAATACGGAGTCTGTATGAACTTATTGGTAAAAGAGAAAGGTAGTCTTGCCAGAAGGGCAAATCTATAATATGTGGGCCTATGGTACTGCTTGTATTCTAGGATTGGCGGCAGCAGTGATATGGTACTAAAGTGATTTGTCAGTGAAGCCAGAAAGTTTGGAAATTAGTGAATATATCTGATACAGAGATATGGACTATAGAAATTTGTGATTACCAAATACTGATCTAATATTTTCAGGAATTATGGAATATAATTTCCAGCTCTAGAAGGGGGTTGGAGAATGGAAAGAAGAAGGAGAGAAAAATCACAGCTTGTGATAAATAGTAGATTAATGGCACTGAAGACTGAAACTCACTGGATATTGACTATCTGTAACCCAGACTCTGGTGATCCGAGTTCTACCACACAAACCTGTTTTGAAGATCAGGGTTCAATTAAACCAAATGCACCTTGCTAATGCTTCTCAATCAGAATAATAACGTTTAAAAAGTTCTTGTAAGACACAAGTTGTTTGATAAAGAATGCTGTCTTTGCACTGAACAGTTTGAATTTTCATGAATTTTCATGCCTAGAAACTTGTCGTTTTCACCCAGTATTTCTCTGGAGAAGAGTAGTGTTCTTCCGTAGAAAACATTCTTTTCTCCAGCCAGTTTTAGTAAGAGGGTTTCCCAGAGGCTGTGAAATCTTTGCCTGTGGAGATATTTAGGACTCAATGGGACAAGCCCCTGAGCAACCTGATCAAAGTTGGCCCTGCTTTAGCTAGGGTGTTAGCCCAGGTGACCCCTAGAGGTCTCTTCCAACCTACGTTAGTCTGTGATTCTCTGAGTCTCTTGTCACACTGGGGTTGCACTGCTCTGAAAACCAGCAAGAATGTTATTACTGACCCGAAGAAAATCTGTTTTGCTATGGGTATTCCTCCTCAAGAAATCTGTTTGAAACAACTAATTTATTTGCACGTTGGTGACCTGACAATTATTGTACGGCGATAAGTCTATACACACTGGTGCTGCAGGTCAGTCCAAACAGTTCTTCCATTTTTGTGTTTGCAAATTAGCTTATCTCATTTTCCCCTTGATTCCTCTATTTTTCTTTCTTCATCATCTAGACATCACTTTCTAGCAGATTGCTCATGTCAATAGTCGTCTTATTTAAATTTCCAAGGGGAACAATGTTATATTGATTTTTGTTTGCGTGTTCCCATAATGTGAAATTGAGTTTACTTCTCCAAACCATTTAATGAGCCAAGCCTCAAAAGTCAATTACAACAGAAGAATGCTCCTCTTCTCTCAATGAAACATTTAGAAGCTGAAGGATATTGTCTCTAAATACTCATCTAACAAACAGACTTTAGGACTCCATTCACTAAAGTATTTTTGTAACTAAGATGATACTCTTGATACTTTTTTCAGGTATTTTGATTAGCTATTTTCTCCTTAGATTAAGTGAATGTGACATTTCATTCAATTATTCCTCCATCTGGATTAGTTCTTCTCTTTCCCATCTTGTTTTTCTCAGGCTTTCTTAGTGCTTTCCTTTATGAACACTTAACATGAGCAAACCCAAGAGAAATGGATTTCTGTATTAATAATTTAGCATTGTTATCTCTTTCTTCTGAAAAGAACTGAACGTTCCGAACGTATTTTGATTAGATCTTCTGTTGACAAAGCTGATAAAATAACATTACAAAATACAGAATAAAAATAGTCTTTATACATCTGTGTTGTGATAACTATATGGAAGATTTTCGTGTTTCTGTGTGAAAACATGTAACATATAGGAACATAGAAACATAACATAGAGGAAGATAGTGTTCACTTGTGAAACAGCATCTCACAAGTCATGTTACTGTGGCTGCCACATCCAGTACGACATAAACTACAATATGCTGGAAAATGCCTATAAGCTTTGTGTTTAACAGCCATCACTAAATTTACAGGCTGTTATTAATAAAATTCCTCCATTTCTCAAATTTTATTGGTGTGTCAGGACCATAGTTTCCTTCTGTATATTGGGCTTATTAGACAGTTCTTTTGAGTTGTGGTGGATTTTGTTTGGTTTTTTTGATCTGAACTGGTTATGACAAAATTGCCAGTCCACTGCTTACTTAACCTTATCTTTGAGAGAGTAGTTTGCAAGAAATTTTTAGAGCAGCAGAACTTAGTCTTGGTTTTGTGGTGTCTATTGCTAACGTCTCAGGGAAAATAAAAGATAATTTGTGAAATGTACCTATAAAGAAAAACATCATTAGAGGACTGATTTAGAATCCGTAAAAGTCAATGGAAAGAGTCCAACTGAATTCACTGTCTCTGAAGCATGTCGCTTGGGGGTATTTTGTTGCTGTTGTATCATTTCACGTTGAAATATTTTTCAGAAAGTCATCAGCAAAAGAACAACAAATTTTTTTTTTCTGCAGTTTTTAATATCAGGAAGTCACTTGTTCCATTATACACTAAATCTATTTTTTTCATGCAGCCCAATAGTACTTTGGGTACAAATGTTTCTCTGTGTCCATTTTTGAGGATTATGATATTCTATTTGTTTTTAAAAATCTTAACTGTCTAGTGACTGGGTTGGAATTTTTTTTCTTTTTTCTGGGCTAAAGAAAATCATATATATGTATCTTCACTGTTGAAGCTTTCCTTCCTATCACTTCACAAACTAGTAATAACATTGTAGCTACTCTAAGGATATTAACACGCTATAGCAGTTTCAATAATTTCAGCATCTGTCAGGACAGTGGAGGTAAGAATCAAACAGGCATCAAAAGCAAAAATATCAACCTCACACCCATGTAGTCATTGTAGCTTCCAGATAAACAATACTAGATTTAAGAATTCCCAGTAAGGTGTGTTAACCAAGAATTAATGTGAGAAATACTGAATATAGTACAATGTCTAAAAAATGAGGAAATCATACCTAAAGCCAACTAACAATTTTCTTGCCTGCTTTTCTCAGTCTTCACACCTTCCTTTTCTCACACCCTGTACACCTTTACCCATTTCCTGGGTATTCCTTGAACTCAGCCTGTAGTAGTTGTCCCTCTTAGTGTGATCCACTCAGTTGTCTAAAGCTATATTGTATGCAATTTTATGAAAATTTCATTGATTTTCATTAGAATTTGAACAACTATCTTCCAGTATTAACACGCAGCTGCCTGGTCTGAAGTTGGCTTCCCCCTGCTGTAGCTTCCTTGTAAAGCACTATTTCTCTTCCTGAGTGCAAACAGCTAAATTTCTCCCCTTCTCTTTACTGCATATTCTCTGTTCTTCACCAAACAGTGCTCTGTTAGGTAACAGCTGTTCTGGTGTGCATACCCTACATAAAGCTCTCTTCATGCTACGCACAACCCATAGAAAAGAAGATGGTAGGACTGCAAAGAGATCTTGCTGGCATAGTCATGGCTCTCGACCTTCCTGGGCAACAAATCTGTACCTTATTATGCTGTGAGCAGCATCAGATTTCCTTTTTCCCGCTGGCTTTAGTTCTAACATTCAGAATTCATGTGGCCAAGAGGGAAGCTGGAGGAAGGGAAGCTGGAGACCACACCTCTGTAGCTGGAACTTCATTATTTGTCCGTGTGGGGCAACAAGGATAAGACCACCCTGTCATACAAACTTTTCTCGATTGCTAAATGTGCCTCCACACATCTGTGCTTCTGTGTGAGCACAGAAAACCAAGTCAATTGGCAGAATCAGATCCTGACTTGCCATTTGATGTTAGCTGAAGTTCAGGACCAAGCTTCCAGATTCCGATTTACCCACCAACCTTATTCCCACCCCATGCTTGGGTAACCCACAAGTGCATGTCAGCCTGCCCTCCGTGTCCTCTTTTCCATGTGAAGGAAACACACATGCAGCATAGAAGGGAGTCACAACATGGCTTTCAGGAAACCGGAGGGAAAATTTAGTTCACAAAATGCAGGTAGAACTACCCATGCTTGAGGAAGAATCGGGAAGTGGGAGGGATGACTACTGACCACAGTTTCTTTCTTTTTTTGCTTGAAAAATTAAGCCCTGGTGGCTGTTTTGTTTTTCTTTTGCAGTCATCTCTAACAAACAGTGACATCATCTTTGTGAAGTTGCATGCCCCTTGGGAGGTCCTGGGCAAATACGCTGAACTAATGAATGTAAGAATGCCTTTCAGGTAGGTGTAGTTGTCTTTTGTCTCAACGTCCAAAGTCACACTATACTGTAAAACTAATGTAATAATAACACCAAAATGCACATGGAAAAGCTCTTCTATAAGATACCACACATCTTTAGAAAATATAAATGGAGTACCTTAGATACCATATTCATTGCTGTTTCTTCTTAATGCCTGCAATTTCAGTACAGTACTGGTTTGAAATTAAGGTGAGCTGTAGCAGTGCAGCTGTTTTCATGGGGTATTCTATCCTTAGGCCCTTTAACCCCTTCAATGCTGGAGCCCCCTGCATACTTGTGCGCTGCTGTTTTTTAAATGGACATTTCATTGAAATCAATGGGAGGTCAAGAAGATCCAGGTACGTAAGGCAGCACAGAAGGTGCATGTCTGTTGGACGTATCTGGTATGTTCAGCACCTGTAAATTGCTTGTATAGTGTGTAATTATGGAAATACAGATTATAAATAAGTATCCCATCTAGTAGGACAACAATTCAGACTATTAATGCTTCTTTCTGTGGAGAAAATAAAGAACTTATATTAAATGCTACTGATAACCAAATTCATTCCACACTGTCATTCAGATTAATTTTTATCATTTATTAAATATTATTTGCATGTTGGGCTATGAAATTTTCTATGTAAAATATTCATTTTTACTCTGCTGGTTATCAGAACTGTTAAAATAGCATAAAGACTTCCACTGGAACTGACCAAAACCCATGAACTGAGAGGTCTTGATTCTTCTTTCAATTAGCAGGGTTTATAGATGCATAACTCCATTGATTTTAATGGAATTACTCCTGAACAAGAAAAGGATCAGACCCAGAATATGCAACTAGTGAGTTGGTGTCCTTTGTAGGATTTCTTCTGTTTTCTTCTTACTTAAGGATGAAAAAAGCCTCTGTATGAGACAAGCTGTAGCAGTACAGAACTTGCTAGGAAAAATGGATATGAATTAAGGACAAAGTTGCAGGCTTATTCAGTATGTATATTGGTTTTCACTTTCACAGCAAATCTTCAACTGTTCTTTCTTGTGCTTTTAGTGCTAAAGAGAGAAATTGAAATGCTATCACAAGTTATTTCAAGATGTTCATATTCTTTTAAAAAAGTGTTCTAGCCATAGAAACAATGGGCTGGGCCAAAAGCGTACCTCCTTTGACTTCTGTGGCATTCCTTGAGATGAACCTGCCCCAGCAGGAGGACAAGGTTTCATGATTAAGAAATATACTAGGAGCTCAGATTTTAGACACTGTTAGCAGCTTGTTCTTTCCGGATCTGAAGTCCCTGTTTTGAAATCTGTCTCTCAGCAGATAGCAAAGTAGATGCCATACAGATTATATAGAAAGCATCGAAAATACTAAAGGTTTCTTGACCTGCTTCAGGACCACGGCTTCATTCTTTCCACATCCACAGAGAGAGAACTATTACAGTATTGTTAAGAGGAAATCATGGTGATTTACAAATGTCTGCTGGGTAGGCTCTTAAATTTTATTTTAGGAGCAACAGTACTGTTTACCATTTAAAAACAAGGACCAGCGTTTTACATCATGTCCCCTAGTCTAGACTGCCTGTTTCCAGGTGCCCTTGTCTAACCCCTTGCTTTAAAAGCTGCCAATTGCTTGCAGCTCCTGATATTTTAGGTTGGAATTGTCCAAGGTCCACACAACAGCGAATAAAATCCTTGCTGCTTCAAAACAGGGGTGCCAAAACAGTGGATACCTCTGAATATTTGCAGCAAAATCAAGAGCTGGATGGCATCTTCAGAAACACTTAGCTTTGACCCTTCTCTGCTCCTGCTAAGTAGAGCAAGATAAATAACACTATCTTGTGGAGAAGTTGGCCAAAGTAGGCTGGGCAACATGAAATTGTTTTGAAAATTTCACTTCATCAGCACACTATGGACACCGATAATAAAAATAATGTCAAAATATTATGCGCTATTTAAATTCTAAGTTCTGAAAACTGACCTGGAATACTAATCAGGTTTTTCCTATAGTTTATAAAGCATCAGTGCTGTCTTATTTTAGAAAGCGTTTAACCATTCCTGCTTTCAAGACACTAACAACATTCCTACAGTACATTTAATATACACAAATATTCAGAATATGTGTGATGTGAGCCCTTCATTTTCCGTAAGTGGTACAGTTCAGCATTACATGATGGAACCTCTCAGAATACATAGAAACCACCTTGATTTAGCAATGACCTTCAGCGGATGACAAAGTCAGCCTCGGGAGGAGGAAACCGGAGTTCAGGCAGACACCCAAATCTTCCAGTAAGGAGTATCAGTCCCAAACCCACACCTAAAAGCCCTCAGCTTTTCTGAACTCTCATGAAGATGAGATCTCTCTGCTGAAGGTGATGGGTCAAATCCTGATAGCTGTGGGGTTATAGGCATGTAGGAGAAGAACAAGAGCTGCCAGCAGCAGAGTGGGACAGGAGGTGGACTCCCGTTTCTGGATCTACACAGGATGGTTAGGGGGCTGCTCTGCCCTGCAGGACTGGTCAGGAAGAAGGCCAAGAGTGTGGTCAGCATGTGTCTGCTCGTGCACCCTTGTCTGCTCACTTGTTCCCCATACGCACGCTCACACAGCTTATTGCACTGACAGCAGAAATCAGCTGTGCCTGTACAAAGTGCAGAGGGAGCGGCTGCATACCCGGGGGGAGTGGGGGCAAGTACATACTTATTTGCTTGTGTAGCCTATATTCTGTTTCAAGGGATGTTACCCCAACAGCAAGCACTGGTCCCAGTTGATACTGCATGTGTTATGGCATATTGCAGCATCAGGTACCACTTTCCTGGCTTTTCTAAGTGATTTCCCCTTGTATTTTACCAAATGTGGATTTAACCATTCACTAGTGGATGTGGGATAATTTGTACACATTTGTATCAGCCCTATGGAATTCCAGCAACAGTTCAGGGACTTCTTTAAAGTAGAAACAGCTTTGGGTCCCCATCTTTCACACATGACAAAATAGCAGAAAAGAAGACAATGGGAAAATTATGACCTTCTTGCAATTCAAATGCCACCAGAGTCTGTGTGGCTTCCAGTGACAGTTCTGTTAATCTCTCTTTTAGTCTCTTCCTCCACCTCTTACAGGCTTCTGTCTTCAATCTCCTTTCCTTCCTTGCTAGTTCATACTGTAACTGACGATGGGTTTTCTTCTCGACTGGCTTCATTTTTGCTGTTCTTCCAGGAGAAAAATCTATTACCTGCACCGCCGATACAAGTTCATGAATAGGTGAGTACAATTCTTGTGCCAGTCCAGTTTACGTTCATTTGAACTCAATAACAAAAATAATTGTTAAGGTCAAGCTGGAAGGAAAGGTTTATTAGCTATGTTTGTAGGAAGGGTGGAGGAAGTGATTGCACACAAGGACATCTGCAAAAACAAATACAGAAGTTGCATTTTTAAGGCATCTGCAATGTAAAAGAGGCATTTTATGCGTTGCCTTTATTAGGAATAAGGAGATATTTTTCGATTGGTGGAGTCTTTTAAAGAAGAATAAGTGTGTTAATGCAAACAATACATCTCTTCATTTTCATGTAGCTCATTAGTGAGTTTCTCGGGGTTAAAATACCACAGTTACAGCTTTTTTTCATTTCCATGCAACTTGCTTACTTGTAATAGCGATGGCATTATTTATTTATTGCTTCCTCTGTTGGGTTGCTTAGTACTTGACCGAAGTCCCTTTGGTAGACAGGAAGGCAACGAACCAGGTTCATCTCTGGTATAACGTTATGACCTTGAAAGATGAATATTTTTCAAGACTCTTTGAAGTGCTTTCACTCAATTATTAAGTATCTTTAAGGTTATCTTTGATGCCTGGTTTGTGTCTAACAATGCAACGAAAAACTTTCAAGGCTGCAGTTCGCTTTTTCTTTTTGACACCTTGGACAATTAAATGAAAATGTCTCCAAAAAGCCTAAAAAATGCACAGGCTTGGAAAAGACCAGATCATATGTTGGCATTTAATGCCACAGTGCTGTTGATGCAGGTTTCAAAAGGGTCTAGCATTTGATTTACTGTGTCGCTCTGAGGTCAGTGGAAATATTCCTTTGAACCTCTGACAAAGAATTAAATTTGAAAAATCTTCATTCTGGAGTAAACAGCTGTATCACTTTGCAGATAATGTCAGTAGATGAACATCCATGGGAAAATAAATCACATATTATGACTCTGCTGTATAAGCCTATTAAAAAGCATTTTATATATTAAATTCCATGACAGTGTGCTGGTGACTTAAGAGTACCAACATTGATCTCACATTATAGTATTTGCTTCGTTATATTAGTAAGCAGCAAATGGGCTCGTTGTAGAGTTAAGGCATTTTATCTAGTCAGCACAGGCTAATAGATGCACACAATTCTTCTAAAACTTGTTGATGCTCCCCACTTTCCATCCCCACCTTACAGTAAATACTATAGCGTCTGTTAACTTTGGGATTTGTCTTGATTTTAGTTAAGACATGGCTGCTTTGACTAAAGCAATAGATAGGAAGGAGTAGGTGAAGATTCTAACATTTATATGTGGTGTATGAAATTCTGCTTCACATTCATTTTCTTATGAGTCGGGATGCAATTTGAAGTCAGTATGGAAACAGGTATGATCTTTTTCTGGTATTTTAGTTCTTGAGTGATGAGAACACTTGGCTAAATTCAATTTTTATGTTCAGGTCTATAAATAGCTACTTGAGGCGGAAAAGCTATAACTGAATAGTCCCAGTGGGGAAAAAAGAAACCATATTCAGCTTTATTTTCATTTATGTGAAACTCAGATATACAGCTGCAATAAAAGTGTCTATTTCCTCCACTCCTAGTTCAGTGAGGATTAGAAGTAACTGAAGCCTTAGTCCATTTTTTGATCTGAGCCAAACTTTATATTGACATTCGGGTAAAATTTATTTTAAAGAGGACTTTTGTTACAAGGCAAAGCGCAGAGCAGCTCACTTGCAACTTGTCAACCTGACTTGAATTTTCTCTCTGAAAAATTCTAGTGATCTCAAAATTTCAAATAGCAAAACTCCCCTAATACATTTTAGAGGAAAGGAGGGGTATCAGGTACCTATACAGTACGTGCATTGTGGTTAAAATTTAAACTAAGACAATATCTAGCACTACAATGTCTGCGTAAAGCTCTATCAAAGCTGACCCACAAATAAAAATCAGTCTCGATTCAAAACTTCTTTTATTGTCCTCACTTCCTCTTTCTTTTGAAAAAACAATTCTATCGCTACCTCTATTCCTAGTGAGAAAACAGTTTCTTTGAAAAGAATTTGAGAAACCCTTTGTGTGAGTTAAGCACAGTAAGTATCTTCAGAAAGAGGGCACTGAGTGAACACTAGACTTCTAGAGCAGGGGCAGGATTGAAGTGGAAGAGACTGTCTTTGAGACATTGTGTGAGTTAAAAGAATTATTTTTTGCCTTATGAGGGTAACAAGTGTTTTTAAAGAAGGAATTTAAGAAGGATATTATTATCAGATCTTCCACTCTCGTCTTTCATTGTGGCTAACTCTACAGTGGCCCATCACTCCATGCGCTCTATTGTTTTGTGTAGGTTGCTCTGCTTTCCAAACACTGTTGCCCTATTCAGCTGAGTATATAAGCTTCTCCATAAGAGAGTAAGGCATGGATTAGCCTTGAAGAAGTGATAAAACACCGTAGATTTTTAACACTTCGTGTCTGTGTTTGTTAGCACAAACACCACTCTCTCAGCTTTTTTTGAGAGAGATATACTGCTATAGAGTACAAAGCCTGCACTGCTGGCTGATGGCACTGTTGGGGTAAGCTGAAGGCAATTTAAGAATTTTGTAATTTTTCTTTTCCAAGGAGATAACCAGTTGTTTTTTTCCCTAGGGATGGCTTTGCCATAGTGTATGTTCTGGGCCTTGCAGCAAAGCTTTGCAGCCTTCTCAGACCTGTTTGCCAGCAGGCTCACTGAGCCTGCCAAGTAATCTGAGTCTTGGGAATGGCAAACCAGTCAAATTCTGGGTGCCCTCAGTGAGGAGCCAACATGAATAATTCATTGCTCTTAAGTGGGGAAAGCACTCCGTGCCTGCATGCCTGGTGTGATAAACCTGCAGCACGCCTATCTCAAATGTGCACATTGACTTGCAGGATGAATGGGAAAGGATTGCAGATTAGCAAGGGTGTTAATAGCTTAGAGAATTCAAACGATTTATTTAGCAAACAAGCATGGAACGGATATTTAGAAAACCCTTCTGCCTGATTCCTCTTCCTTTTCCATACCCAGAGTCAGTAAGCCTACTGAATATACAGTAATACAGAGCTTGTGGCCTTTACAGAGGAAAGACTGGAAGCAGAGACAGGGAATTCCCCTATAGAGAACTTACTTTTCCCTTGTCATTCCTATCAGTGTCTGCACAGAGTAGCTCAAGGCTGTCAGGCTGGATGCTGCAACTGGAGAGTTATGGTTGGTCAGACCCTTTACAACCCTAGATCTGACATCTCGCCTGGACTCGGGCACGGACATTTGCAAACTACCTCCTCATGTGCTCTGAACTGCTGTGCCAGTGCAAACACTGCCCATGAAGAGTTTCTGATTTAGTCTTATGTTATGTTTGCATACACATTCCAGTTCTTCCAAACAGTCCTGATGGTAAATAACGTCCCCTGACATACAGTATTCCCAGAATGAGAATACACAAATGTTACCAAAGCAAGTAGAGCTAATTCAGTTACAATTTTGAAATGTGTCCATGTTTAAAAATTAGCATGAACATTCTTGTCCAAGAAAAAAATATCCAACGGGAGAAGTTTGAATATTCCAGGAAATATTATATGTATTTTAAATGGAAGTATGTAATAATTCATGTCACTTTCCCACACACTCAGCTGCTTGGGTAATGGATTGCCCTCCCTCAAAAGTGACTGTGCAGCGCCCACGTTTGCTGGTCATAGAGTTATTGCACTGACTTCTGTCAAAAGAAAAGAAACAACTACATTTCCAGTCCTTGAACTTCACCCAGAACTGGACTTAAACTTCAAAGGATGTCCAGTCATGCCCTTTATCTCCAGCCCTGGAAAGAGTCATTCAGTGACAGAAATATGTGCATAGTCCATGATTTGTAGTCTATGATTTTTGCAGGCAGGGATCACTGATCAGGACTTGAAGGTGTCAGGAACTTCTGAGAGAGTAGGGCTCGTTGTGCCAGACATGTCTCATCTTTCTTATGTGTTTTTCGTTATAACGTGTTAGTTCAGATTTGAATTTTGTTTAAATTGTCTTCTCCAATCATCTCTGCTTCTTCACTTTCCCTTCATTTCAGTGTTCATCTTTGCATGAGTGCACTTGCAATTAAATCTGCCCTTTCTCCACCTTGATCTTAGTTTGCTTTCACCTTCTAAATGTAAAAATCTGTGTAGCAGTCACCTGTTAATCTATATACTGAATATACTGGTTTCATGGAGGTTGTAGTACTGCAAGACACTACAGTTGAACCAAATGAACATAGTAGCCTATTTTTTATAGCATCAATTGCAAGGTAAGAATCCGTACAGAGAGCAGTAAAGGGATGCAACTTGCTAGGGTTCAGCTGCCAAAGCTCGCTGTCACAGTCTCTGCTGTTCTAATGTTTATACGTCCAAATTCTAATGTGTCAATTAAACCTGAAATTTAAACTAACTGAAAAGCTGCGAAATAAAGGTTTAGAGAGTTGCCAAGAGCTTGAGACGATGTAAAGCATCATGTACTATCAGCAATGCTTTTCTGTTGAGACAAAATAAGATGCTCGTCCGCTGAAAGCTGGTTGTTAATAATCAAGTTCAGCATGTATAATTCGGTCTACCTCAAAATAGTCAAAAGACATTGCTTCTTTTCCAGTTGTAAATATTAAGTGGCCTAGTTTGCCAGCATGTGTTCTTTGTAAGTGTTCTGTCATGTAATGAAAGCACAGAATCTCAAATGCTCACACTTTTCATGTGCTGCAGGATCGAGAAACAAATAAGCAGGTTTCGAGGATGGTTACCTAGAAAGCCAATGAAACTGGACAAGGAGACACTGCCAGATCTGGAGGAGAATGACTGCTATACCGCTCCATTCAGCCAACAAAGGATCCATCAGTGAGTATTTTATTATATCCTAATTACAAGATGAAAACTTTTCCTCCTGGATTCACCTTGGAAAAAATCAATTTCTTAGTTCACGTCTTAAAGTCTAGAGCCTTCAAATTAGTTCTTTGTCACACAAAGCGAGAAATGGAGAGGCCTGAAAGAGCATAAAGTCTGTCTGCGTTTCTAATAACTAAAGGTCCAGCTCAAAACTAAAAGAAATCAATAGAAAAGTACCTCTTGATTCACTGGAAATTCAATTACATACCTAAAGTAGTCAAATGGCTAATTCTCTTTTGGGTCAGAACTGCAGTTGTTCTTTGTCTCTTAAAGGTGTGATTAAAACTTCTTTTTCAGCATTACTGTGTCTTTAGCATAGTCAAAATTAGTCCTTCAAACAGTGATGGTCAAAATAAACTGACACTGCATTTCATTCCTAATTGTGACTGTAGAACAAGCAGAACTCTAAAGGTAGCAGAGAATGTCATTTTGCCTGTAGTTCTCTATCTTTTACTTTTATGGAAGCAAAACTGCTTGCAAAATGCCAGTGTTAAAACCTATCAGTGACACTTGTCCAAGCATACCAATGGCACCAGTATTGCACCAATATCACTAGAGAAACCATTTGACTACTAGAAGCCTTTATTCACCTGCAAAATGCAAAATAAAACCCACGTGACTTTCAGGTCCCATCTTGAATTTCAGGACTGTCAAATTTCAGAGAAAGAGGGTGACTTATGGGTACTTACAGTGTTCATGATACTGGAAACAATCACCGACTACCTAAGAACAAAATCACAAAGAATAGGCAGCACTGAGTAGGGTACTGACAGAAGACTCATGTGACACAGAGTGAAGTACAGGCAGCTCAAAGTCTGAAATATGTGATTTTATACAGGGAGAAACCAAGCTGAGGTAGTGCTTTTAAATGCCTCACTTTGAATGAACAATTTTTCAGGGATTAGATGTATTAGCTGCAATAGGAATGAATAAAGTAGACCTCCTCTGCCATAAGTAGTGTCTTTCCAAATATAGCAGAAAATCAACACCAGGTGCAAATCTCCAGGAAAATTTCAGTAGAAGTCTGCTCCTAGCATCACTCACCAGCCAGGGTCATGTCCACTAAGTATCTGTGCCCTGAATAGACATAAGTTCAGTCTACAGCGTCTTCCAATGCTTCAGCAAAAAGATGAGTCAGTTATTGTGCCCTGCGAGCGGAAGAGTAGGTGCAAATTAGTTCAAGAATAGACCAGTGATAATAAAAAATGAAGAAACTGGGGTGTCTGGACTGATATTTTTATTAATAGTAATATTAACTATTAACTTCCCTTAAAATTACAGCACGTAAGAAAGGGGTTTTGTGGCTGGAAGGAGAATTGGCGTATATGAACCAGAATATTTTTTTAATTCTTCTGCCTTGCTCATGTTTGTGTTGGTAAACTGCCAGGAGGGGTTTATTAAATACTGTGTTGGTTTCATTAACATTCCCGCTGTTGTCTGGCACTTCTTTTACATCACTGCAGACTTTGAAGCCCTACTCCCCAGCAGGCCTGACATTTTCTCTTTTGCTTTCTGTGTAGTCTTCCTTTACTTTTGTGCTGGGACTGAATAAATGCTGGGTGAGCTGCTCTCCTTCTCCCAAAAGGTTCTGGCTCTGACAGGATTCTTGTGCTCCCGTCATGCTCCAGCCTATTGGCTGTGTCTGTCTTATTCTGCTTCACTAGAATTTGGAAATATAATGACTTGTTCGATATTCGTCTAGGGAGTTGCATGCAGGCATTTGAATTGTTTCAAGAATTTCAGGGTATGTTGGGAAGCAGAACATTTCAGGAACATCTTTAGTATGTGCTTTTAATCTTTGATTGTGCCGAGCAGATATCAAATAATTGGAAATGTAGAGTTCAAAAGAATTATTTTATTAGTATCAGTAAACAGTCAATGTCTATTATGTTTGGGTTCACTTACCTTGTACAGATTTCTTCTTTGTGCAAATTGGTGCTTATTCCAAGATATACCTAAACATTCTATTGAAAGACCTGTATATAATGAGCCAATAAGTAAAGATGCCCACCTATCCCCAAACGTAGGGA